ATAGGTCCCCAGGAACATAAACTTATAGCAAATGACTATTTTACAAAACCTTCTTGGAAAGATTAAGTATGTATTGCAGCAAATAGAATATTGTACAGCACAGTATAATACTGCATTGTATGTAACAAATAGATACAAACACTAATTTTTAAAACTTAAATTGAAAGGGAAGAATCCATCTACTGAAAATTTCTATTGTTCTTAAGGAAAAGTACTGAGTGTCCCAAACTTACTCAAGGGTCATTTTGAAGTTATAAAAGACCAATGGCTTTAGTGTTACAGGCAGGTGGAAAGTTTAGCATGAATGAGTGGTACTGCCTCATACACTGCTTTTATAAACTAATCACCACTGTAAAAGTACATGAATATTAATCAGGAAAGCAGGTAGTAATTTCTCATCTCTCTCTGAACAGATGTAACCTATAGCTTAATTTTGTTCCCTGTGGTTAGCTGTACTGGTTCAAACCTGTAGGCTGTGCTTTGTTCTAGCTATAAGGTGTCAAACTGTTGCTATGCTTCTTGCCTATTGTCATGTCCTTAAGGTCTTCCCTTCACATGTCTTTTTGGCCTTTCTTAGGCTAAAAGCAGTACAACATTGCTTATAAGCTTTCTAAAGCTTAATTTAAAGTCTACATAATCTCTTAATATTACTGTATCTGGCTTGCTTTCTTCTTGTGTAATTAGCTACACTTTCTACTTTTTTTTCAGTGAGCTGTAGTTTTTGTGTTCTGTGTCCCATCAAGATTCATCTTAATGGGTTTCACTCTATTGAACATGAGGTTGCAGCAAGACACACTGTGCTTTGGCTTTCACTATGCTATTAAGAGGTCGGTGATGGCAAGTGTAAAGTGATTATTCTCACTGAGTTCTAAATGCTGTGAATCAGAGATGCAGTTGAGATTCATATTCATGTGAGAATATTTTTTAACTTCCAAAGGAGGTCCAAGGGCAGGAAGCTGATGATTAATAGCCAGTTTAGCTCGATGCATGTGCTCAGAGGTTTAATGAAACAGTCAGCTCAACTATGGAAAGGAAATAATCACACACTGGCTTTCTGTTTTGTTGTAGATGAAGCTCTACTTCATCTACTATGGTATAAATGCATGAATCTATACAGGTCCCCTCAGAGACTTTTTGTCTATGTTAATCATTTAATCAACAAACTTATGTTATTGTGTATCTCTTACCCTTAATTTCTCAGTACCATTTCGTTGATGATGTTATAGAAGAGTGGCATTCCACAGCTTTGGAACACAGATTGGATAACTGTATGAACAACTCACTGTGTTATTGAGAGGAATGAGTTGCTGTGGACCACAGTGAATCTGTGACTAAGCCTTAAATCCCAACTGTAACAAGAGTCAAAAGTACATCACAAGTTAAATAAATGTGCTATGCTTTCAGCATCTTTTTAATAACAGATGTCATTTAATAACAGATAGTCATTTGACTATTTAGGCCACTGTAGGGAGAATACACTGGAATTTAAACTAATGTTACCTATTGATTTATATCAGGTCTTTGTTCACATAAAGTTGGTTTGTAGTTTTGGTGGGGAATTTTTTGTTTGTGGTTTTGATAGGTTTGTTGTTTGTTGGTTTTTTTCTCAGTTTGTTTGTGTGTATATTGTTTTTTTTTTAACTTAGAATGGTTGGCTTTTGGGGAATATCTGTCAGGCTTGTAACACTTGATCTTTCATTTTCCTGTTCAGGCTGTTGTCCATACTCTTGATCCTTGAGAACAAGAGAGATCTCTCCACATCTTCAAAAATAAGAAACAGAGGGGCCATAGATCTTATTTAAATACTCAATTTTGAGGCAGTTTGCTGAGCATTTCATCTTGAAATTGGATTCTTTCTTATATAGTCATGCAAATGTCCAATTTCAGAATATTCCATGATATAATAACAGTGTAGTTGTAGCCCTGATTTAGATAATGGCTGTAACAACACTTATTAAAACCTTGAAGGTGGCAGAGAAAAGTTATAATCTCCTTAAGGTCAGTGCTCATTTTTTGTAGGCTTTCTGCAGAACTGAGATAGTTATATTCATATTGAAAATGGAAATGGACAATCTGACAAGGTAGCTCAGAACTTGAAGGTTTTTCCCAAATCTTTGTAGATGAAGGGTTTTGTACTTTGGAGCTATAATTTGTAAGATAGATATAGAAGGCAAACTGAATTCTGGGAATATTTCTGCTTAGGCTGTTGCCTTCTCTTAAACACCAGCAGCTTTGAAATGATTGTGGAGGTGTGTGTAATATAATGCATCACACACAGACCTTCTTTGGTGCATATGAAATGGTAATTTCAAGGTCTATGTGGATATTTGGGGCAGGGAAATTTGCATTATTTTCTGCTATCTGCTGAGTCTGCAAGTATCCTTTGGTTTATAGTCTTTTTTTTTCTGGAAACCCTGTTCTGCAGAAGGAAAACCTCTCTGAGGCCTAGACAGAAAAATAGAGGAAGATATCCTCCATAAATACTGCTGTGTTTTATTAGCTGGTGATATAGTAAGGAGAAGTAAATTGAATGGTAGAAGTTTATGAATTTTAATGTGGTTTTTATTCACTTACTATTTTAGTGTATTTTTAGTTTTCCATATAAAAAGTATGCAAAGGACTGATTAATCAGAGAAGTTATTCTTTAACATAAGCCCACAGAACAAAACCAAATCACATTGCAGCAAATATGGCTAAGAGAAATATTGTTTATTCACAGAGCTTGATGTGGATATGAGAAAATATGCTTCAGTTTGAAGTAGGTGTAATCAGAAAAATGTTCTGAGTATGCATGTACCAGTTAACATACAATGCTCCACTTAATACCAGCATTCACTAAACTGTGATGCTCTTCGGGGGCACAAGCATATGCTATTCCTGGCTATCTCTGCTTGGCAGCTGCAGGCAACCTCAAAAAGAATTTCAGTAATCCTTGTAATGAACCTATCTAAGCAGGGAATCTGCTGTTCTTTTCTCTCCAGCAGCAGAGTCCTGGAGACCAGGGCCTGAGGAAGCTTAGCTCAGGTTGTGTGTCATGAGCCTGATGGAGTCAATCTAACAACTCACTGGTACTGGAAGGAAAGAGACTGTTTTTTACCCATGCTCCCAGCTGCGCTACTCTGACACCATGCATGGCCTCTGGTACCCACTGGGAACCCAGTTCACTGCTCTGAGAACATTCCCCCTCAACACCCATGATAAACAAATTCCCATACCAAAATCTCTGACTGCTTTCTGTTCCTAGTCTAAGTATTACCCGGGTGCAGAAGAGAGTTGAACAGGCACACTGGTGTTGGTATCTGAGACAACGATGGCATTTGAAGGCAACTGGATTCAGGGACCCATGCTCAATTCAGAGACTGCAGAGAGATACTCTCAACTGCTTGCTTTTGAAGTATGAACAGTGAGCTATTGATTGATGAAAAGAGGGGTCTATATACCACTCCCAGAAGTAGGGGGCCTCCATGAGAAGTTGAGACAGGAATCAGTCCTTGGAACATACTGCCTCAGAGTTGTGGGGAACTGAATGGGAGACATGTTCAGGAGAAGGCAGGAAGAAAAGGCATGGGGCTGAAAGTATGAGCAGAGCTGACAAGGCTGGTGAAAGGAGAGGCAGTGGCTGGGGGGGGCCACTTACCACCCAACAGTCTAGAGACAAGTGGAGGGGCAGTGATGGGGTCCCAGTTGCTTGACAGTTCCTGCGCCAGTGTGTCCAGAGCTTGCAGTTCTTTATCCAGAATAAGCCAAGTCTGCTGCATTCTGTCAAAGCACTTTTCCTACTAAGAGTAGTAGGGAAACTTCTGATCAGTGCTTACACATATATCTTGTTCTGGTGGTTCCTCCAGCAGCCATAGATTCAAGAGCTTTGGATTCAAGTTGCCACTTGTGTATTTTCCACATGAGTTCCTATTAATTTTTAGTCTTTAGGGTGTTGTCCTTTATTTTTGCCTTTCATACTAAGCTGCTTTGCAGCTGGTCATGTTTTGAGTTAGTCCCAACAATAATTTTCCCAGCAATCATAAAACTTTCTGTCAACAGTGCTTTGTTCTTAAAAGAAAAGAAACCTAAATGGCTTTGATGCCTTGTATGTGATCACTGAAGAGAATAAGTTTTGCAAGTTACTTGTGTCTGTTTGATGTTCAAGCCTATTGTATGTTAAACCCTAGTATTAACATCCATCTACTTTCTATAGTTATAACATAGGTCAGATTTGCAGCTCTTTGCCTTCTGTTTCCATCTTTCCATTTCACTCCCTGTTCCTCTGCAGCAGTATATGTTCCACAGGAACATGTTCCTCTTTGAGGATTACTGCTGCAGTCTCACAAGGAAATGATGATTTTGTGTGATAAGGGATTCACCTGAAACTATGACTATGATTCTGCTTCATGTTTACTTATGTTATATTAGTGCAAATGAGATCACAATGAGATTGTGAATCTAATGCTGTATTTGTATGTAAGTGCATTTAAAAATTCAGATAGAAAACTTGAAATTTGGAATTTTCTTTCTTCCTCCCTAAGTAAGACAAATATTACCCTAAAATTACCTATTTTAGATAAATGATCAAATATATAAAACATCTGTCTTAAAAGATACATATCCTGTCTTCACACTGCGCTAGAACATATCCATGAAGTCTAGAAGAAGAATAAAAATTTAAATTTTTCATTTTTTGTAAGCTTACATAATTAGTATACTCTCTGCCCCCCATTTTATATGAGGAATATATAAATGAGTTGAATGTAAAATAAAAAATATACAATAAAATCTTTGAACAGTTATTTGCAATGCAAATCTACTATGTAGCTTTATTCTTTAATGTGCATTAGCAGATCTTTTCCTGAAAAACAGAGGGTGACCAAGGTATGGAATGAAATGATGTAGTGGGTCTATCTTGAAAGTAACACATTTAATATAATTTTAATTTCTTTTGTAACCCCACATTTTCATGTAACAGACTGGCCACACATACACTATAAGAAATGGTAAAGCTCACTCTTGTGGTATAGTAAGAGAAGTGCAGAAGCAACAGCCCTTTATTCAGTGATTTCTGTTTGCACATAAATGTTAGAAGTGATGCTTAAGCAAGTTGCTTTCCGTGATATTTTCATTCTTCTTCTCTTGTTGAGCATGGTTTCTTTTCTTCTCTTGTTCCTTCTGTGGTCTAAAGAACTTTACAGGATTGATGCAGTGCACTATCAGGCTGCTGGACAGGTATTGATGCTTACAGCACCACTAACCAAAGCTGCTTTACTAAAACTTACTGGCTTTTCATCAATCATGAAGTTACGGATGCAGCCAGTGAAGGAATTGCGTGTAGTCAGGCTGGATGTTAGCAGAGACTCTGGAAGAAGAATTTAAAAGAAAAAGATTAGAGTTCATGATGACCAAAATAATCAGTTTGGTGGCAGCAACCTTTAAATTTGCTACTAACTGCAGGTCTACTGAACCTTCTGTGGGTCTTTTAAAACATCTGGCCTACTACCATTGTCCTAGAGGCCACTAGAGTTAGGTATGGATAGTTATATACAGTTATGTAAAACTCTTGATACTACATAGTCAATAGAGACACAATTTTTCTTTTTTTTTGGCAACTGCATTTTCTTTTAAGTAACAGTAGATGAATCCCAGTGTCTGTTTTTGTAATTTAACATTGCATATATTGTCATGTGTGTCTGATTTCTTAGTTTGCATCCAGTTTACTGTATTTACATGGTATTAGTATTACATCTTCTTTGTTGCTGTGAAGTTCTGTGAAAGATTTTTCAGTGCCAGGGTGATAATAGCATTGTAGAGCCAAAGTGTGGCATTGCTTTAGTATTCTATAATTAATGTAGAAATAGAAGGCTCTATTATGAAGCAGAACAGCATTTGCAATTAGCCCTTTATATTACCTCTCTGGGAAGAGTTCTGTCCTAATAAAATTCCAGTTTGGATTTAAAGAGTGAACAGGCATCTGCACATAGATTTTATTATTCCCTTTAGGCTCATTTTTACCTCCTGGTAGTGTGGGATGGATGTGAACACCACACACTCAAGCCACTAATCCAAGATAAGCAATATAATGAATTTTGTAGTTAGAGCTGTTCATGATTGACACGCCAGGCACAGAGTAATAATGCTGCATGTTTTCAATGAGAAATGTACAGGAGATGACTTAAAAATTGAATCACGTAGTGTTGATTACAGTTTATATATGAACCCCAACAGAGTAGCTTTGTCTGTTGAATAAGGGAAGTAAATGTAGTAATGTTGGCCCACGCTATGCAGATGGTCTGTGAGTCACAAATACACATGAGCAGACATCTGTGCAATAGAAACCACTAGTCAGAAAAAGGATCTCCATGTTTTGTCTTGTGTTCAAAGATGCCATTGCTTGAAGAAGAGGAAAGAAGCCTACCAGCAACTAAATATTGAGACTTCAGCTACAGTGACAATGAGTTTTCCCATAAATAAATATTTTCTTTAAAAAACCCTAAGCCCATACTGGAAAGGAATTTTTTTATAGCTGGATGACTTGTCTACTGGGTCCATACATGACCCTCCAGCAGCTGTGAATGTTTTAATTTCAATTAAAACAACACTTTTGTTTCTCCTTTGAGAACTTGAAGCAAAACATTTCTGATCAGCTCTTGAACCTTTTAATTTTACCATGTTGTTCACATGAGATATGGTTTGTCCTTTTTTGAAAGGAACACTAAGTCTTCATGCTTTCTCTGGAAACTCTGTTGAAATTTCACAACAATGTACCACAAAGATGCCCAAAACATACCTGGTACACCTCCAATAAACACTGGTTCCCTGTGGTCAATTGCTTTTGGATTAAGTGGCCCTACCACGTGGTTGACTTCAGAGTCTACATCCAGCTGCACCACATTAGCATCTCGAATAACTGGAGGGAGACGGAACAGGAATCAACAAGAAGTAACGTAACAGGAGTTATCTGTGTGATCTGAGTAGTTGATTTAGTGTTTGCTAGATTGGGTGTGAGCCATCAGTGACAGTATGTGGGCAGATTCTGGCATAGAGCAGGGCCAACAGTGTGGGAGCAGGGGTGCTTTTGAGTGGGGCTCTTGCTCGCTGACGGCTGTGTCTAGGCTGCAGGGTACGAGCATACAATGACATGTGACTTAGAAAATCTGTTTGCCAAATCATTTCCAGTAGTGGACATATTGAGATGCAGTGAGGTTTTCTACTTGCTTGTGTGCCTGGGTTTCCTCCAAAAGGGAGTCAGAATGCATGGGGAAAGGATGCACACTCAGATCTCCTCTGGATGTGGCAGTGGGAGATATCCTAAGTCAGCATCTAGACAGGAAGGTATGGGGATTCTAAGTACCTGAGGTTTAGAGGTAATTTTGGACTTTCAGATCAAGGAAAGAAGGATGAATGTCTGGCACAGAGGCAAAATCCTGACTGTAGACAGCTCTCTCTTGTGAGCAAAAGTCTCCCCAAGACTGTCTTGTTATTTGAACTTCAAGGGAAGTATATATTTGTGCCTACTACATTCTACCAACTTTAACCTCTAATTGGGAAAGGAAGAATATAATCTGGTAAATGACTTAGGAAAGGTTGCCAGCATTTCTGCTACGCTGCCTTGTGTTCTTTGAACAAGGACCTTCCATCTTTGCTTGTTCTTCATAGAAACTTGTGGCTGTCCTTCCAGGAAGTACTACAGTTCTGTATCTGAGGGATGACTAAGACTGTGTCTTTCACACAAACTTGGGTCTTGACAGGAGAAAAAGAAGAAATGAAAATATGACCACCTTCCCAGTGCTCTAGCCCATGGAGATGGATATCTGGGGAAGGAAGTATGGCTCTGTCACCTTACTTAGGGGATGATTTCATTTTACTGACCTGCAATTCGATGCCACCTGCCATCACATAGACTCTGTTTCAGTGTCACTGAAGTTGAAAAATCCCTGATTCCATTATTCAGTTTCACAGTAACCTGGGGGAAAACAATGTAATCATCACTGTAAACCCCGTCCTGTTCTTTTTTTACTTCTGTTGTAATAACACTGTATTCTCCACTCAAGATATGTCTAGTATCCAAGACAAAGGAAAACACGATTTCATTAAATTTTTCAAAATAAAGTACCTTTCTGTTCACAGGTTTAGGTTGCTTTTTTGTGTGTATGGTGGTTTTTTCTGTTATATTGTTTGTGGTTTTGTTTTAATTATTCAGATTCAATAGTTTTGAAACATTTCTGATTTGAGCTCAAGGAAGAGTTAAAAAAATGTCAAAAATAACAGCTATTTTAACTCATTTTCTAGTACCTCTATAATTTCCTGTGTGGTAAACTAGTGTTTAGAGGCATCAGATGATGTTTTGGCATCTTGCTAGCCACTTAATAAGGAAAACAGTCATAGCAACCTCAAGTACAAACAAACAAGATGTGAGAAAGGAATAGACACCCAATTTAAGAATGACTTTTCAGTTACTTGTTCAAGCTTACCAGCAAATGTCTGGCAGAGCTAGAAAAATGAACCTAAATTTTGAATTTTGGATCTCTGCTTTAGTTACATGGATTAATATCTTTCTGTATGGAAGTGTTACAGCAGGGGCAGAGCAGTGTTGTGCCCCTATTGCAGGGCACAAGATTCCCAGTGGTGCTTGACAGAGAACTCCAAACTCTGCCTAAGAGTCATTTCCAATGTCGAAGTTGTCCCTGATGATGCCGACACCATGTTGACTGAAAATCAGAGTCATAGAATGATTTGGGTTGGAAGGCACCTTAAAGACCATCTAGTTCCACCCCCCTGCCATGGACAGGGACACCTTCCACTAGTTCAGATTGCTTAGAGCCCCATCCAGCCTGGCCTTGAACACTCCCAGGGATGGGACATCCACAACTACTTGACAACCTGTACCATTGCCTCATCACCCTTTGAGGAAAGAATTTCTTCCTAATATGTAATCTCAACCTTCTCTCTCTCAGTTTGAAGCCATTCCCCCTTATCTTGTCACTACGTGTTTTTGTAAATAGTCTCTTGCAAGGAAAAAACTTATATTTAATTTAGGAGGGTCTTAGTTTTGATACAGTTGTAAATGACAAATTGTAAAACTTTTTTTTCCAGAAGGGCACCAGCAAACACAATTGAAATGATCCTCATGTTCTCTTTTATCCACCCTTAGACAAAATATATAGGATAGATTAAAGTGAATAAAGAATCATGAGAGAAAGTGACTCCTTAATAAATCACCTAGACAAGCTGTACTGATAGAGATGTGTACATTTAAACAGTGAATTAAAGTTGCTGATCTTATTCGTCTAACAAAACTCTTTTCACAAAACAGGTCTTTTGTAATGCATTCAAAGAGAGCAGATAGTTAATCCTAAAGAAACACAGATGCTTACTAAGAAGGTAACTGGCCTGCTGCAGTGACAAGCAGGGAAGAGCTGATTTTCCAAGGTGAATTCTGTTTATGAATTGCATATGCATTATACAGGAAGTGAGGTTTGAAGCAGTAAGTGAGGCAGCATCTTTTGTTAGATCAGCTAATACAGCTGGGAAAACCAAACAAGTTTCTGGACATGCAGACCTTCTGTTAGAGCTTTACATAAGAAGTACTGGACTGGACTGGTTGTATCCAGATTCAGCCTTTAAGTGTGGCATGATACACAGCAACACAATGTACCTAAAGAATTTTGTTGTTAGTTCACCAAGGACTAGATAGAGGGGTAAGAATGGGCTTTATCTCACCTAATCAGCTGCCAAATGTTAGGTGCCTAACTGAAGCAACTGTTGTTCTCACCATAACCAATATAGAAAAATAGATTCTCTGAATAACAGCTCATTTAGTCACCTGCATTAGACACCTGCTTAAGGACAGGATGAATCACCACGTTAAACTGTCCACTCAGTCATGCTGCTGTAGGTTCCTGCTTTTGTAAGAGAGGTGACAGCATGTTTCTTCAGGTGTTGCATTTCTACCTGAGGTACAGCCAGCCTCACTGAAATACCCTTCTACTTGTCGACAGGTTGATATTGGGTAGTGCATTGCAGTGATTAAAGAATATCCACACTGCTCAGGACCAAAAAAAGGACCAAAACTCCCCAAGATTTCCTCTGCATTAAACTTTTGCTTATGTTGTTCACTTAGGAGTGCAACTTGTTACTGTATGTGTGCAGTGTGTTGCATGAGGAGATTTTATCAATGAACATAAGAAAATAACTTATCTGGTAAGTTAATTTCAAAACTCTCTTTCAATTGACAGCTTTATAGAAACCCAGAGCCTGTAGAAACCTGATCATCAGACAATCAGAACTTTCCCTCCCTTTTATGTTGAGACCAAATGCAACTCAGACTTCTAACAAAACAAGAAAAAAAGAATTATCAATAGTTACCTTACTTGTAACTGTTATACATTGCTAATGTGTGTGTGAAAGAGCAGCACCAAAGAGTCAGTGCTTTTGCTTCGTTTCATCTGCTCATGAAATATTTACAGTTTGTATCGGTAAAGTGATTTGTCTTAGGTGTTATTTCTGCATTTTAAAATAAGTATCTGTGTTGCCTAATCTAAGCAGTTAATATATTTAGGAGAGAAATAGGAATCAATTAATGGCAAATTTGTAAGACAAAAGCTGCATGTAGCAAGCCCAAGTAGGTGGGAGAGAAACCACTCAAAGCAGTGGAGGAAATGTGACCTTTATTATACCTGTCCATTTCTCATGTGCATGTTCAGGTACTCTCCATTCACGCTGTGGCCATGCAGTAGAATTCCTGAGCTGCTTCGGGGACGTATTTCAAAAACAACTTCAAATTTCAGGCCTAAACTGAAGGATTCATCTGTGAAATAAAAAGAATAACATTCTTTTTGTACTGAGGTAATGGTGAAACTGGACATTTATTCAAAGTCAAAATAGAAAATCAAACCCAGGATGGAATTTATTTGTCCTTAAAACTACTGAACATGAGATAGCATGGTGTGCTGTCAATGACCCAGTTCAACTTTTGCATTTTTTGCATTTTCTTGGAGTCCTAATAAAGTTTTATATTTTTTCTCATTATTTCAAAATATATTTTGTGTAAGTATATTTCTTAGCAAAGAAATAGACAGCAGAATGTAACTGATCTGTATTTTTTGGCAGTTTCTTATTGTGCAATTTGCTAGACATTCAGCAGTCATTACTGAGTGAGTGGGAGTTTACTTGAGCTTTGATGATTCAGTAGAAGAAACTCCCATTTTCAATCTGGTGGCAGGCCAGGGAGCAAATTAGAAACACTGTCTAATTCTTCCTGGTGTTGCCAATGAATAGGGTTGTGCAGTTTCCTTTCTTGTTCAGATCAGAGCCTATGTGACCAAAACACACTCATAAAACTCTTCCTGGAACACAGCGGGCTTAAATGACAGAAAAGATGTGTTCTGTCATGCTGTTCTGTGGCAAGACATGCAGAAAGCCATTGCTTAGGCGTTTTTAATGACATTTTTTCTTAAATTAAAACACTAAAGTATGACCATTTGCTGGTGTACTTGGTCTTAGCCACATTGACTTCTCTGTGTCTGTGATATTTTTAACAATATTATAATCTGCTCCCTTGTGAAATTACTCTAATTATTTGAAATACATACATACAGATGTATTTATGTAACAGCTTGTTAAGTTTCACTTTGACATTGTGACCTGCCAACATCAGCTGCATACCACAATAATGATCTGTATCTGATAATCCTTACAGCTCCTAGCCTCAGAAATTACCACACCCTGTAGTGAAATAGGCCATTTGGAAGCACAGTGAATACTACAGTCTTACTATGGGATATATTTGTTTAGGAGTGTATTACCAAGGACGACATATCCTCCTTCTGATGAGAAGTATGTTCCTGCTTCTGATGGGCCTTCAAAGCAAGGTGTTACACTAAATGTCTGCGAAGCTGAAGTAATTGATCTTCCATTGAGCTGTAAGTTGCTGAGACAACCACTAAAACTGTAGACAGAGTTAATCTGAGGGGTAAAAAAAAAGCATGATTAATAGATAAACTGCTTGTGGAAGGAAATAAATTTTTCTCTCCTCATTTTTACTTGTTTATAAGCTCTAAGGCTGTGATTGACTGGTGCATCAGGTTTGAATTAAGAAACAGTTTCCAAAGAAGGGAAATAGGAAAAATGCTTTTCATAGCCTCATGTCTCTCTGATGAGTTCAAGGTAATTCCAGCTTGTGTTGTTTGTCAAGCAATCTCCTGAACTGTGAGAAACAAAATGCAACTAGAGCAAGACAGTGTTATACATACCTCATATCCTCAGGGCAAGATAGGGGCTGCTTTTTCTGAGTATTTTATCTGTCTTGTTAGGCACATGACACTAAAGATTACTTTGAAGAAGACTTTGTTATGTTCATTTTTGCTTTAACACTCCTTTACATATACTTCAGTACCAAGCTATAGGACAGTATCCTGACTTCTAGGTACCATCTTAAAACAGATACTAAGATGACATTAAAATCTCTCTGAAACTCATTCTGTATCTCAGACCTCAGGGTGAAATTGATCTCATCTGACTTACCCATCTCATCTAAGCTTGGATGTCACTAGGATTTCTCTGTTCCTCATGGACCTTTTGCTTTCCAGTTACTGCTGCAAGTCTGTGGAAGCCTAGCCCAGCTACCACCAGCCCAGCCCTGCGAGATCTTTGCTACAGCTGTCTGCTCCTCAGCATGCTGAGGATTCAGATCTTTTTGTGCTTTTGCCTGAACTCATCGCTACAATCAGCTTTTTTATTAGCTATACATAGAGATGTGGGCTGATTTGATGGATTTAATGTTTTACCTGGATATTTTTTACAGCTTTTCCAGGAGCTACACCTCCAATATAGAGTGGTTCAGTGACTTGCCAAGTATTGGCATTACCACCAAAAGATTCTTCCAGTACTCGAAGACCATCAATTATCAGCCGACCAATATTTTTGCTTCTAATAAATATCACCTAGAAAGGGGAGAAAAAAATTTGGAAAGTTACTTTCATCAGTTAAGAGATCTTGCCTGTGCAGTGGAAGAAGATAACACATTTGAGAAGAAAATCTTGTGAGTGATACTCTACAAGCCTGGTTTTTTAACTGCCAATATTCTTTTCTGGACAACTCTCTTTTTTCACATTCATGTAAAGGCTAGATAGTAAAACTACTGTCTTTCTTACGTTTTGGTGTACAAGGCAGAGGTAATCAAGGTGTAACAAGGTCCACTGAGATCTACTCATCATATCCTCATACATAATTCATTGTTACAGAGCTATCACTGTTTAGCATTTTCAGTCTTCACTAGTTTTATGGTCTGGATTCATCCACAGAATCACAGAATCAGTTATGTTGGAAGGGACCACCGTGAGTCATCTGGTCCAACCTCCCTGCTCAAGCAGGGTCATCCTAGAGCACATGGCTCAGGATTGCATCCAGACTGTTCTTGAATATCTCCAGTGAGGGAGAATTCATGACCTCCCAGTGCACCATCACTTGCACAATAAAGAAGCTCTTCCTCATATTCAGGTGGGTTTTGCCTGTTACCTCTTGTTTTATTGGTTTCCACCACTGAGAAGAGCCTGACTCCATCATCTTGGCACCCTCCCTTTAGATACTTATGTACAGTATGAGTTCTCTCTTCTCAAGACTGAACAAACCCAGCTCCCACAGCCTTTCCTTGTAAGTGAGGTACTCCAGTGCCTTAATCATCTTTGTTGCCCTCTGCTGGACCTGCCCCTGGAACTCCATGCCCCTCTTGTCCTGAGGAGCCCAGAACTGGACACAGTACTCCAGGTGTGTCCTCACAAGGGCTGAGTAGAGAGGCAGGATCACCTCCCTCAACCTGCTGGCCATGCTTTTCCTAAGGAGCCCCAGGACAGCGCTGGCCTCCCTAGCCACAAGGGCACACTGCTGGCTCATGGAGAGCTTGTTGTCCACTAGGACCTGGGGGTCCTTCTCCTTGAAGCTGCTCTCCAGCAGGTCAGTGCCCAACCTGTACTCATGTACCCTGCCTGCTTTAAACACTTATATACCCAAGTTAGTAGCTTAGTAACTGTAGACTTCCTCTGTAGTTAGTGAGGAGAGAGAGCTGCCTACAGAGGAAAATTCACCCTGACTTCTAAAACTGTCTTTTTATTTGCACAGAGTAGAGAAGAAGCCTAAGACAGCTGTGCTCCTTGCTGAGGCACTTCAAAGAAATTTGCTGAACAAAATTATCCTAGTCCTTACTTTCATAGCTAACCTAACTCTTAATTCCCTTACTGTTCTGCTTGCTTCTGTCACTTCTGTTCAGATGTCAGTGTTGGGAATTGCTGGATTTTTCTAACTGACTCACTTTCCTGTCCCTAGTTAATGACTTGATAAAATGCCACATGGAAGATTTAAAAATTTTGGCAGAAGTTTCTGAACATATATGTGTGGTTATGAATACATGAATGAAAACTCCTGAGCTGTCACATCAGCTGTGTCTTTACTGTAGTCTTGATAGCATGTACCATCATAATGATGCTTTCTTTTACTTACATTGTGCCACAGACCATCATTGTATTTCTCCTGGCTCTTAATCCTTATCTTCTGATGACCAGCATTAAACATAAAAACGAGTCGGCCATGAGCAACAAAAAGTGCCATGAAGTTGGTCTCTTTTTGATCCGAAACATAGAAGATCATTCCATGAGATGAATGAGTTTTCAGACTGATAGAGAACTGGGCTCTGGCACATAAAAGCACAGTGTTAAAATTAAAGCAGATATACTTGTCTTAAATCAAACATCAGGCAGAGGAAGACCAAGTTTAGCCTTTCATGCAAAGGAATATAGGTCTCCTTCATGGAAATGATGCTTCTAAGAAACATTCTGTGTTGTTTTTTTGAGTAGAAGTCAAAGTTGGAGAAGAAGCTGCCTGACAAGGAACTTGTTTTCAAAAATTAAAATCTTTGTGTGAATCAGTTCAATACACACTACCAAAACCTGACACAATATACACTGCATTTCCATTCCCGTTGAATAGCAGTGTTGGGGGAATTTTTAACTGTGATGACATGGAGATCCAACAGTTCACAAATCTTTAATGTTATTCCAGACTTGGTGCTAAGCTTGTAGTGCCTCGTTAAGTCCAGGATAACACGGGAAGTTATAGTGTGCTGGTTTGACATTGTCAGCAGTGAAAATTGCTCAAGTGATTGCTGTTATTACTTTGGGCCTAAACAAGGCAAAGCTGTATTGGTGTAGGACAGTGCTAGGACTGATTCTCATGTCAGATGACTAACCTAGTTTCATATTGTCTCAAGGACCTATACATTCCCAATTGTGTATGTGTGTTTGTATGTGTGGTTCTTCCCAACATCAGTTGTTTTAACACATCAAAAGTAATTGTGTTTTTTTTTTTTTTAAATGCAGATTACAATGATGAAGCTGTAATAACAGTTGTAAAATAAATGTGTGTTGTAGGGATGAATATGGGCTGAAGATATTAGAGTTTGGGTTTTCCTTCATATGGGCACCATCAAGACTGCCTTAAGTAAAACACTATTGAACTAAAATAAATGTAATGCTTCATTTATTTAAATCAGGAAATAGCACTCTTCTTTTCTGAGTTAGTGGTCTGGTGTGCTTCTAGGAAGTGCTCTGTTGTTGAATTTATGGTATTTAATGGAAAATATTAAACCAAAATCCTTGTTGATCATAACATAATGCATGACATAGTCTGTTGGAGCATGAAAATTAAATGTCCACAATATCTGGGGTCTCATTATTACTTGAATTTCCATTATGGCTTGAATTGGACAAGGTTTTAGTAGGTTTCTGTCCTACTGCACTGTGTGGATTCCTAAGCATTAAATTGCTGAAAAAGGTCCACACAACATGCAACTGCTTCATTTCTTAGTGAGCTTTCATGTTCTTTTCCAAGTCCACTCTAATGCCATTGCTTCCTGTGTAAAGAGATTGATTGTTTGTTACTTGTGTAGAACCAACATTCTCAAAAGCTTCATATAAATAGGGAAGGAGACACATTTTGTTAATATACAATGCAAATGAAGATGCCGCAGGAGAGATGTAACTGGAAACACATTCTATATATTGCTGTTACTCAACTGAAACATCTTTTAGTATAATCTAATGATATGCTCTACACAAAAATTGGCCTAAGATATAAAAGAAAAAGCCAGGGTAACAGCAGAAATGTGTCCCCTTTAAAAAAATTTGAAATACATCTTTCTCTTCCCTAGTATATTTGAATTTTATTTCCCAAGTCACTTTACCTTTGACTGAAATCCTTTGGTATGTAATCAAATTCTTGCCGGCTGTTTGCTGTTCCTCCAAACTGATATGCATCTTTGGTTGCCTTGGGATTCATGGGCAAGTGGCACTGAGGGTCTCTTTGCATGTTCACTTGATACAGTTTTTTGAGGCCAGTTGTAGGCTGTGAAATCTTGTCTTTATCTCTTCCCACCTTCATAGAAAAAGAACCATTAACCAGAATTTTGAGCTAAGATTGGACATAATAAAAGGATCATTTATATCTAAGATAGTAATATATTGTTTCCTTACACAAATACCAGGAATGTTTCCAAATCAAATTTTCCTGGAACAGATCTACTGTAGATGCTGATTTAGGACAGAACAAGAGATAAACAAAATACTTGTGCAGTTAACATAATTACAATCAAATTCTTTTGCAGTTTTCCTAATGAAATCTTTTCCTCTCTGTTTCTGATGATATCAGCTGTACTATAAGCATAAGAGGATGTGCTTGGACTAAAAATTCTGCACGCTGGAGAAAGATTTTTTTTCACATTTATATTAATGTATGCTAATTGTGCCCAGTGGAGGGCCACACATAGTAGCTGAGAACAGAAGCAAGCTTATTGCCTTTAGAATATAGAAGAAATCAAGAAGGCTTCTTTCTGCAGTACTATTTTTAAGAAGGAAAAAAATTCTATTTTACAGTTCTAACGAGAGGGAATGGTGCCAAGTGTGGGCCAGATAGATTGGGTCAGGGCAGTCATTTGCAGTGATGGAATATGTAAAGAAACAGGATCCTTTCCTTAATATATCTGAAATTGTCTTTATATAGTGCATTTTGTATCCATGATTTGGCAAATTCCCAGTCATGGCATTTTGTAAGACTCTAGGGTGCTACTAGGGCAATTTGTACCAAACCTTTTTATTACGGTTTCCTTTGGCTTTTGATGAGTTTTTTCCTTTCTTATGGAGAAGAGCAACTGGAGGAGATTCAACAGGGCATCCATACAAAGATGCCTGAACTTTCTCAGTGTACTTCTGGAAATCTTCCACTTCAACCTCTTGATCCAATCTGTGTTTCAAAGAGGAGATGACAAAACCAGCTTTTTTTATTTTCCGTCACAGAACTGTGCCTTTGTAGTTTAAATGATATTTGAATGGGCTATTTTTTATTCTTGTATCATGAATAAAAGTGCAGATTGATCAGTCAGTGTTTGGGTAACATGGACGGCCTATACTACCTCTGACTGTTGTATCCATGCTTGCATCAACAGCATCAATCTTCAACATGAAATTAACTTTTAAACCTTCTAGATAAGAATATTTCATAAAGCAATTAAGATCAACACATTCTGACCATTTTCGCATGACCCAACTCCTGACTTTCCCAGCATCTGAGATGCCTTAATATCATTTTTGTTTCACAGGCAGAGCTGAAAGCTACATAATATAAATGTAAATTACAGCTATGCAAATTGTACATTGCACCAGCAGCATTAGGTGCAGTAGTGAAAGCTGATTTGATCAAGCTATTCTCACCTTAACAATATCTTAACCTAGCAGGTCTGTGCCAACAGATTCCATGGCAAATAAGGTAAGAAACTTATTCACACATTCTGTCTAGACTCACAAAGTGAGACAGGAATTTTTATTATGCCAATAAATCACTTCTCTTGAGCTACTATGCAAGTTGTTGGGCAGTGACTGCCTGGCAATGTTGTACATACCTAGTGAAGTAAGCATTGCTTATGCAGCCAGTGAAGTTGGCTTGCTGTGTTCTGAGGGGAGAGCCACCAAAATAAAACTTCTTGACACTGTCTGGGCTTTTCCCTGCTCTGTCCTTTGCTGGGTTCTTCTTGCTTTGTTTCTTGTCATCAACAGTCAGCTCATACCTGCAGAGGTAAAGCGTCCATTTGGCAGGTTAGTTGTGGAAACACCAATGCCAGTGCTTAGAGAACATATTACATGCACTGAAAATGCTCCACTGAGTGTATACATCACTGAATGGTAGTGCTCAAAGTCATGAGAAAACCTTCTTGCTTCCAGCTGTGCAACAAGTAGCAGTGTAATAACCCACTCGCACAGCTGAGTGCAGAGGCCATGGATTTAATAACATCCTGGGGTTAATTGAGAAGTCCTCAAAAATATACAGTCCATTCAGTGAAGAAATTTAAACTAAGGGATAGCTAATAAATGAGTGGAGCCATCATTTGGGTGAAATCAGATCTAAACATACGCTAATCCTTCTTGTTTATGCCCCTATTCCTTTTTCTTTCTCTTTTATCACAGTACATTGATGTTTGAGCTTATACAATGTTTTTTACCTAATCTAATTTTGCAACACATTAATTGTTGCAGGTCAGGAAGAATTCTATTGCTTCAATGAGAAACTGAGTATAACTAAAGCATCAGATATTGATTTTGTTTGGCAAGTTCAAAGTTCAGCACACTCAGGGAAACATGACAATCCTCAAGGCTATTCCAAGATGTCTTTATACATCTTCAGCTTTCAAACTATTATTCTTGCATGTCAGAAGTCACAGGTACAAACCTCCACTTCCATTATAAAAGTAAGGATGACCTGCATAGGCAAGGTTCTTGAAGAAAGTCACTTTGATTATTTGACCTTCTAAGAAAATTTTAAACATAGAAAACAATAGTAAAACATACCAATACATCAATTTTTTAAAGAAGCACAGAGACAGACCTATTCCCTACTGCTGTATTTAGTCTTAGATTTGTGGATGTCAGTGCTAAAAATATTTTGAACTTGTTCCATTGTATATATCCCAAATGAATGCTTTATGTGAAGATGCTTCAATTACTTCAGGGTCAATTGGGGATTGTGTTAACAAATTAGAAGAATCAATCCTGCGAAAAAATGAATCTCATGCTAGTCTTAAATGATATTAACCTGCTTTCTTACCTGAGGAAAAAAAGGACTAAGCTTTCAGAAAACTATTATTTTGGTTTTACTTAAAATTCCCATCATCTTATGCTCAGGCCAAGCTGGACAATTTTCAATCACTGAATTAATCAGTTGAAAATATCACTTAAAAAAGCCCCACTTAAAGTGTCACTTTGAAAGTGAGTATTAAAGAATAACATACTTTACAAGAAATATTTATTTTCTAAAGGTAGGGAATAAAAAATCCTGGACAGGTTTACCTCTCTGGGGTGACAGAAGTAATGATGAAGTGTGTTTTTCCATCATTGTAATTTCGGTCTGGTGATTGAATTTTGGTTCCACTTGCATTTAAAACCACAGCACCTCTGTCCATAGAGATGGATAATACATCTGACTGAAATACAGACAACAACATCTTCGTTAGCAAGTATAACACAGAAAAAATAACTGTTCTGTGCATTTTCCTGTCATATTTATTTTTCTTCCTGCTGGTTTCCCCATTTGTGCTTTATTTGCAAAAAGCTAATTTCTGAGACGTAAAACAAGAGATGATATCATTTGAACTGATATTCTTGCTGGTTTTAGGCATGAATTTTGTGAATTCTGCTGCTGATTGTATCTCATGTATCTGTCACATGAGCTCCTTCCATCTAGCACGGATGTAAGATGTTTACGTTTCATTCATGTTTCTGGTACACTGGTGCTGTATTGAGCAGCTGTTACTGCAAGATTCC